CCTGAAAATAAGACCTCCCCGGATAATAAGCCCAATCGGGCTTTTGAGCGCATGGGCTAAAATAAGCCCTCCCCCCAAAATAAGCCCTCCCCCCAAAAATTGCAACACAGCCATTGGGTCACTTGGCACCATGTCCAAGAATTTTATAAAATACCTCAAGAAATTGCAGCTTCCTGCAATAACACCAGTGGAACTGCAAAAAACTGCACAATTCGAACATCGTATATCTTAAGAAGGTACTTGGTTGATACCTAGGACGCTGGCAGCAAGCCCTATCAACCATTAGCACCAGTCAATGGTATTTGTGATGCATTTTTGAATGTTCAGTTAGCTGAGGTTCATGTTTAATGTATAAAAGTAAATAATAATAATCTTATAATCAGTATACATTTACAGCTTCTTCATATGTTAAATTCTTCTTTTTTTTTTTAAGAATGCTTAGAAGTAAACAAGATTATTTCCATATAATTAAAATCTCATCTATTGACTCACCAGGACTTTTTAAAATATCCAGAACACTCCCTTCTTTTAGGACTTTTGCAGGCTTAAAAGGACCATCATACTCATTTTCTTTCTTATTGCTTATGCTGTTGATAGCTGTTGATGGAAAAAGTTTGAACAACATTTGCCGTGAGCAAATATACATCAGCTAATGGACTAATTATTACAAGAGATTTCACGAAGCTTTTATAATTTAGCAGTTTTATACTGTCATACAAGTTAAATGATCTTTCTTAGAAAATCATGAAAGCCCAGAATAAAGTTTTACCCAAACTGAATCTATGCTTAAGAAACTGTATAAATTGGAAGATATTTTCACTTTTGAAAGAATAGTGAATAAACTTTAACCATTATTTTTTCTCAATTTCTTTTGGACTAGAAATATTAATACCTGCTTTCCCAGTCAAGAGAAAAATTATATATTAAATGTATAAAATTACCTGAATTAATTTGGGGTGATAATGAAGTATTCCTGGATACTGAAAGTTCAGATGATTTTGCAACAGGAGCACTAAATTTAAATCCACCAATCTGACAGAAATAAATATTAAATGTCAAAAGAGGAGTTGAACAGACCTATTCTATAAACAGGAATAGCAAGCAGACCTCTACGTCTGAACTTTAAACCATTTTCTTTTCTATTATTACCATCTTCCCTTGCCATAAAATCACACATGCATTATTACTTACAGATACTGGAGGCAGCATTTCTGCTTCAGTAGATTTTACAATTGGAGATGAAAATTTGAATACAGGACTGCTAGCTGGCTGTACCTAATTTAAAAAAATCAAAATATTAAACAGCTACCCTAAAGCAGCGGTCCCCAACCTGTGTGGCTTGGTGGCCTGGGGGGGAGGGGAGAGGGGAACTGGGCTGTGAAAGCGCGATGCAGCTCTTACGCGAGTGGCGGGCCAGTGTGCATGCATACAGCTCGACTTGTGTGAGTGGCGGGCTAGTGCGCATGCGTGATAGTGCTCAGCAGCCGGGCACTTGTGCAAAATGAGCTGTGTGCGCATGTGCGCAAGCTCTAGCCAGCCCCTCAACTTGTCCAATTCCAAATAGGCCACAGCCTGGTAGTGGATCGAGGCCCAGGGGTTGGGGACCCCTGCTCTAAAGAATATAATTAGTCATTATTTGATTATATTAGAAATGAACACATAAAAATAGGAGGTTTTGCTGTGAAACCAATGATGCTCTGCGTTCCCAAACAAAATATATCCTTTTATGGTGCAACAAAGGAGACTTTCAAAAGTAGTATGCAATACGGAACAATCTATTTCAATGTCAAATCCTTTTCAAAAACAGACTGAAATTATAGAAGTTACCTCCTAAACTTTTGCAACTGTTAAACAAAACATGAACTGGCAGGTTTTATAATAAAAAAAGAAACATATCTATGAATTTATCATCCTTTTATGCAAGATAATTCTCACACAAGAAATCCAGTTTTTTTTAAATTTCACAGAAATCAGTATGAATCTTCCAGCCAGGCTTATAGAATGCAGCGTAATCCCATGCAAGAGATTTATTTCCAGGTCAAAAATGCAGGACTGCAATTTATATGCATTCATCTCTTTCGAGAGAGGTTTATGTGAGGCACTTATTTTCAAATACTGTAGTTATAGCAGCCATGTTTTTTAAAAGCTAGTACCAGGCTGTCAGCCAGAGGCAGCTTCTGAGCAGCTATGTAAGTCTGGAAAAAGATGCAGCTGCTTTTAGCAATCTGAATAGCAATTTTTCCCCTTCATAATTAAAGCAACTCTTTACACAGCCTTAATAGACACACAATGCTGAAAATATACAGTGTATCAGTTACATAGAATAACACGTCTTCATGAAGAATACCTACCTGATATGTTATGTAATATATACAATCACTTTTGTTAAATTCCTTGAATTAAAGCTGAAAGTCCTCCACTCACATCTTGAATGTTTATTTCAAATTTAATGTGTTGATGTACAGAGGCCAACAAGCTTATCATAGTGGCCAATGTATACGAATATTATGAAGTAATCTATTTTTTATTGAAATACTGACATAACTTTATTACTGTCATGAACTTCAAATCAAAATAGAGGTAGTTCTCAACTTACAACCACTATACAGCCCCAAATTTATGTTGTTAAGTGAGAAATTTTTAAAGTGAGTTTTCCCCCATTTTACGACTTTTCTTGCCACATTTGTTAAGTGAGTCACTTCAGATGTTAAATTAGTAACTCAAGTGAATCTGTTAAGTGAATCTGATTTCCCCATTGACTTTGCTTGTCAGGGCACAAAAGGGATCACATGACCCCAGGACACTGCAAGCGTCATAAATGTGAGTCAGTTGCCATGCATCTGAATGTAAATCACATGATCATGGGGATGCTGCAACTGTCGTGTGAAAAATGGTCATAAGTCCCTTTTTTCAGTGACGTTGTAACTTTGAACGGTTACTAAGCGAACTGTTTTAAATCGAGGACTATCTGTACATCACACACAAGTAGTCTATTTAGAATTAGGAAATCTGCTGCTTTCCTTTTGTTTGTATACAAAAGGCTCCAGCAACCAAGCCCTGTGTTCATAAATTATGGATTGCTGACATTTTTGTGGTGCACCAGTTGTATAGACTTGTAATAATAAACAGTATAGACTTGTATTAGTCGATACTTTTTATTATGGAAATATAAATCAGCTAAGTCAAAGAAAATGAAATGATAAAACTCCAAAGCTTGATGAAGGTACAAATCAATAGCAGTTAGACTTATATACCGCTTCATAGGACTTTCAGCCCTCTCTAAGCGGTTTACAGAGTCAGCATATTCGCCCCAACAACAATCCGGGTCCTCAATTCCATCTCGGAAGGATGGAAAGCTGAGTCAACCCTGAGCCGGTGAGATTTGAACAGCTGAACTGCAGTCAGCTGAAGTAGCCTGCAGTGCTGCATTTAACCACTGCGCCACCTCGGCTCTCTCCCTAAATCAGATTAAGGTAGAAAGGATAGGCAGAAAATAATTACTCTATACCCAATTTACCTTGTTAGTCACTGGTTGGGCAGCACTGGGAGTTAATGATGAACCAGAAGAACTAGCCAGAGGGCTAAAGCTGAATGTTGGCAGTGATGATGTACTAATGGGCAGAGAAATGTCCGGTAGTGCTGGTATCTCCATCTCCTAAAATTGAAAAGTCGAGTTGTTATTTTTCAAATTCCACAGAAATCTATATTTTAAGTTCAGGTTTGCTTATTTATCAAGAAAAATTGAAGCAATTTAGCCAAGAATTGGGGAAAAAAATGTTAATCTAAATGATAAAA